TGTGAAATTACGGACTTAATATGACAGACAGAATTTCTCCCAGTCTACCTTTGAGTAGGTGGGAAAGGTCTAAGTAGGTGCACTAGATTTTTTTTTGGAGAGATGATAATAAAAATTGAGGAGATGGACAGAAACATTGGGACAGATACTGAAATACACCTACATATATACTTGTTGAGTTCCATATATACATAGATACCCAAATAATATGTATATAAAACATTAAGGATGTGATAAATTTGCTAAATTTTAAATTGAATGCAAATTGCGAAACTTTTAAACATTGAGGCACATAAGCTTGTAACTTGATGATCAGATCATCCAAGTGCTTTTCTATTTTCTTTTCTTTGAATTAAAAAAGAAATGTTTTATTTTAGTTGCTGTTGTGTCGGCCAAGATCAACTACTGTTCAAACAATGGTCCCTTCAAAGTACCTTCCAGTTATCTTGGTTAGTATGAACTTATTAAAGTTTACATTGAGAGGGAATGTCCAAAAAGACATTTTTTTAGTAATAACTTTCTAGTAAGAGGACAATTAGATTTGCAAACACATCAATATAATATCGTTTGAGACGGATTTAAAATGTTTTGGTATGCATCACTGAAAAATGACATCATTAGAAATAAGTAAAATGGGCTGTCTTATCTCTAAAAGCAAGATATCTCATAAAACCTGTGTATAAGAACAGTCAATAGAAATAAGCATTAATGAAAACATATCAAGTAGCAATAACTAAATAAGAATAGACTGGCCTGTTGGTTTAATGGTTAGTGTTCCTGATTGCTGCGCCAGAGGTCGTGGGTTCGACTGTGGGTGGGACGACACCCAGGACAAAAATTTGTGTGATGAGCACGGTCATTTGTTCTGTGTCTGGGTGTAATTTATCTATAATATGTATGTATTTAGAAACATATAAGTATGTTTATCAGCAGTATGGTTACCATAGTTCAGGCTCTGCCTAGTTTAAGACTAGACGGCCGTGTGTGAGATGTGTGAGATAAATTTAATTATATTATTATTATCCAAGAACAAAATGAAAAGTCAACAAGTCAAAGTGAAAATTTAAACTTCGTAATGCAGCAGTCAGGTTTTATCATAGATAGGTATATCATCCATATAAATTTTCGATGAACGACTCTCACAAGTTTTTAATTTTGTTCTGAGCGTTGACTTTTTCGAAGTCTACAAACAAATCGTACTTAAGAAGTAAACGTAACACGTTTATCAACAGAATGTAACTAAGAAGAAATATTTACAGGTTCCATTTGTACTGATAAGTACGGCAGCCAATGGGGATTCAAGCCAATCCGACAGACCAAAACTTTTAACAAACCCAGGGATTACATCATCGCGTACGGTCTTGACGATGGTTTAACTAAATTCAGGACATTGCTGAAGACCCACGTGAAGGTCGATATCTCAAGTCTATCAGGTACGTGTTAATGAAATTAAAAGGAATGAGTTATAAAAAAAACGGTAAAATTTAAAAGGCAAGGCTTTTTATGGCAATGTACAAGTATCATTAGCATCATCATCATCAACAGCCTTTAATAGTCCACTGCTGGACATAGGCCTCTCCTTACAAAGGAGGTTTTGGCCTACTATACCATGCTGGCTAGACGGGTTGGTATAGGGTTTGCGTCAAGTTTTCCTTCTCTTTGCAGTGCTATTATTCTGCGTATTTTCACCCACGGGATGAACAGGGGTGATGACACTCTGTATTCTTAATCCGACACCACACGGATAGTATTTACAAACCTTAGACCAATCTAAAACAATAAAAATAATGACAGATCTATTTACAAATTTAATTATTTTAATTACAGGCTCACAGAAGATAGTTGCTCAATCAATTTATGACATTTTGCAAAATGGAAGATTCAGCGGTAAGTGAACTACTAACTATATCTTCTAGCAGTTTTGTTTGAATTTGTTTTATAATTTTGGGATGTGCATTGATATAAATTTCTTCTCTTTCAGATGACTACTCTTGGTCCAAAAAGGATGTGTCTTTTGTTTTCTCAAAAGGTAAGAATCTTATAATCGCTGATGTTATAAAATTCAAGAGACCATTACATTACGATGCTGATTTAATTTTATTTACAATACTAAAACAATTATAAGTATAAGTTTAATAATTTCTAACCATAATTACAGTATTGGCATACAGACACATGTTAAACGAAAATAAAGGGACTATGGTGGGTTGATACCTGAACTAGGAATATTCCTGTATCTCAGGTTATATATCTATTATATATCTATTATAAAATTAATGACTGGCCTGTTGGTCTAGTGGTTAGTGACCCTGACTGCTACGGGTTCGATTCCCACCCAGGACAAATAATTGTGTGATGAGTAGCGTCATTTGTTCTGTGTCTGGGTGTAATTTATCTATAATATATAAGTATGTTTATCAGCAGTCTGGTTACCATAGTACAGGCTCTGCCTAGTTTGGGATCAGACGGCTGTGTGTGAGATGTGTGAAAATATTATTATTAGATATGATTAATGTTTTAGTATGGTAAATTACCATCATTTCTTTAATACAGAATGCGGCCAATAGGGGGAGCTCCTCTTGATTGTAATAATTAAACAAAAAAACATAGTGAGTTTAGAATCTTTATATTTATTGATTTAATTTTTATATTTCCAGTGATCACGGTCTTGGCTACTTTGGGCAGTAGTTATCATAAGAATGGTAAGTTGATTTAATTGTTCATCAGACAGAAAAAATATTATGATACAATTTAAGACATCATCATCATCATCAACAGCCTTTAATAGTGAACTGCTGGACATAGGCCTCTCCTTAGAAAGGAGGCTTTGCCCTACTGTACCACGTTGGCCAGACGAGTTGGTATAGGGTTTGTGTCAAGTTTTCCTTCTCTTTGCAGTTTTGTTGTCCTGCATAGTTTGCTCCCTTAGTCGGCTTTTACGATACCCACGGGATGAATGGAGGTGGTGACAATCCGTATTCTGAATCCGTCACCTGTTGTGAAATTTTAGCTGTTAAATTTAGCTTCATAAATATTATGAGAGAGTCCTAATACTATAAATATATATATAAAAAATAAATCCAGTTTTCCATTTGTCATTGCTTTGTGATGACATCGTTAACAATATTTCCTTTAAGGCCAGCGTATAACATAAATTATATATTTCAGTATGGATGTTAAGGTTTATTTTTAAAAAACTATCATTCAGAAGTCTGAAAAGTTCAAGCATAGTGTTACTTCAGTTTACAATTTAGCCATTAAACTTTAATTTTGCAGTTGGACCCACCATTGTCGACGATCTGTGCGATTACAGCAGGGACATCGGCAAGGAGTCATATGGCTTGGGTTAGTATTAGCCACTCATTGTATAAATTATTTTTACCTATCCTATCCAGCTATTTAGAAAAGAATCCGTTTTATTTGTAAATATTACTCGTATACTCTCCTAAATCGTTCTCTTCTTTTTGTATTATATGCGAAAATCTTTTTCTACAGACTTATTCTCCCTGAAGAAAGAAATCAAGACAGTTATCGTCAGTGCCAACTCTCACAGATGGAAACAAGTGATAAAGGAATGCTCTGATGATCAATACTATAAGATTGTTCATACTCAAAATGATGATGACGATGACTTTGATGATAGTGCTGAAAACAATGATACAAAGAGAGATACTCGAATTGATAAGGATATTAATAAACAGAACAAAGGTGACAAAGGAAGAACTAACAAAGACTTGTCTAGAGATGACGTTGATGATGATGACTTTACTTCGATAAACAATAATAGAAATGATGAAAAGGCAGATGTAAAGAATGTCAAGGAGGAAGTTTATAAACAAAACAAGGATGAAACGGAGAACACCAACAAAAAATCAACCGTTGACGAAGACGTCATTGAAAAGAGAGTTACACTTGAAATCAATAAAAAGACCGACAGTAGGGTAAGTGTTAAAGATATAAAGTTACATAAAATAAAGAAAGTATATAATAGTAACAATAATAAGTCGATTGTGATTTTATTTCTTCTCTAACCAGAAGTTTTCGCCAGAAGCTAGATCATAAGGGTCTTCTCGTCTTAGTTTTGACCCGTATGCTCCTTTATCCCTATGCAAAAAAAAAACATTCACAAGTGTTTTTTTTTCTTACAGAGGACACAAAAACCCTTATCATCATTCAGAATCTTCTGGAGAGGAATTAAAGGTAAGCACAATATTTTTTTACTATGTTTGGTAACCAGAAGTTGAAAAATCTTAAGTTCCCTTATTCCAAGTGGAGGTTAATTGAAGAGTGGGAACACACTTGTGTCTCTTGCTGTAGGTGTCTATGGGTGGCAGTAGTCACCTAACATCTTCAAAAAATTAATAAACATCAGGTTTTCAATCTCCTCGCTTGTCCCCTACTCCATAAAAAAGACTTAGTTGAATTTTATTCAGTAAACTCTCGGCAAATGCAGAAATGACTAGAAATTGAGATCGGAAAATGTATTTACAATTTACCTATTTCATAATTTATCTTTTGTTTGCAGAAGACCACAGCGCATCTAAGATATTTAAAATCCTGTCAAAGAAGCGTAAGTATCATATAAAAGAGTTGTGTGCCTAATAAAACATACAAAACCGTGATATAAACTCGCAATCAGCTTGTGGAGATACGGGTGCCTTGTATCTCCAACACAAAGCGAAGATCCTCCGACCAGGAGAGGTGATAATGCCTGGCGGACCGAGGCCTAACTGTTGATGTTAAAATGTTATTATAATATAATACTTTAATTTCGTAAGTTTTTCGTTGAATTTGGAGGACACTAGCTCATACCATTGGTTACTTGTATTAAAATTAACCTTCGTGGGATGTAATAAGACATATTATTTTAATAAGCAAGATTTTTTTTTAATAAAATATATTTCTTCGTGAGCAGATGTAAGAAAAAAAGACATCTCTGGCGGTATCTATCATTTGAAGTGTAAAATTAAATGATTAAAATACAATTTCTTTCTTTGCAGCAAGACCTACCAAATTTGGTGATGTTCTGGACGTATATTTGACCGGTAAGAATAAATTTTTCTTTCTTCCAATTTTCCTAAATCATCAAAGAACGAAAATGCAAAAAAATTGAAAGCTCCTAAATATAATAAATAATAATAAAGTGGATGGAAAAAGACCTCGAGGTAGAAACCCGATACGTTGGACTGACCAGATCCGCACTATTCTCGACACCACAGTCCATGATGCTCTGCACTCGGCGGCGGATAGGGACGGGTGGCGTCGAGTGATCCACAGCAAACTCTTACTGCGAGGAAGCGGTCACGACCCTTAGCATTTAGGCAACCGAAGCGAGGAGGAGGAAATATAATAAATAATATTGAGGCTATAAGAGACAAAAACCCTTTGAAAACAAAAAGATAATTTAAGAAATATCTGTGGAATACAGCAAAAGTGTGTGTCTGAGCGTGTGCGTGTTTATGAATTATTATTTATTGCTAATGATACCTCAGTGGTGGTATGAATGTGATAGTGGGCTGTATTTAAAGCTGTCAAATGTTGTATGGTTCACAATACATTATTTAAAAACGTATATCATGATGGACAAAGGATGATAAGCACGAGGGCTGCAGTCTGTGGTGGACTGTCTATATGTCCCGGCTGGCGAGCGCCAGTGGCTAGAGCAGGTTCCAGATGTCTGTATAACAGCAGTTCCCGGATCCCTCCTATTACAGGCACACCGTTTGGTTTTAGTCGGTCCGATTCCAACACACCACCCTGCCGCAAACCCCGATGGGTATGGGTATGGAACCCACACGTATAAAAAAAGGGCAGGGGTGCGGGCAGCGGGGCCGCTAACGAAAAAAGCCGATTTGCTCCGATCGTCTGTGTATGCAATCGGCAGATGTCGAGTACTCGACAGTATTATTGATCTTTCAATATTTTTTATTAATTACCAATCTTTAATTTCTTAGGTGCATTTGGAGCGGGAGCTATCATTGATTCCTGGGCGCCTGGATGTAAGTGCAAATTTACCTTCAATTTATTGAAATTAATGAATTTAAACTTTAAAGCAATATTAATTAAATCTTTTTTTACTTGCAGTGGGCAAACTCTTCTCTTCGCGTGAGTATTTATTTCATTTCTTTTTATTATCAATTATTAGAGTTTTACACACATTTACTTACTTCATATGACTGACATTTTCTCCCAGTCTACCTTTGAGTGGGTAGGAAAGGTCTAAGTAGGTGCACTATTTTTTTTTGAAGAGATAATCATAAAATTGAGGAGATGGACAGAAATAGTGGGACAGATATATATACAAACATATTGAAATACACACACATGTATACTTGTTTAGTTCCATACATACACATATACACAAATAATATGTATATAAAACATTAAGGATGTGATAAATTTTAATTTGAATATAAATTGCGAAACTTTTAAAAATTGAGGCACGTAGTTGTGCTTGTAACTTGATGATCAGATCATCCAAGTGCTTTTCTATTTTCTTTTCTTTGAATTAAAAAGAAATGTTTTATTTTAGTTGCTGTTGTGTCGGCCAAGATCAACTACTGTTCAAACAATGGTCCCTTCAAAGTACCTTCCAGTTATCTTGGTTAGTATGAACTTATTAAAGTTTACATTGAGAGGGAATGTACAAAAATTCATTTTTTTTGTAATAACTTTCTAGTAAGAGGACAAGCTAATCTATGATCTAATGGCTACTGTTTTTGACTGTTACGCCAGAAGTCGTGGGTTCGGTTCCCACCCAGGACAAATAATTGTGTGATGAGCTCGGTCATTTGTTTTGTGTCTGAGTGTACTTTATCTATAACATGTATGTATTTAGAAATATATAAGTATGTTTATCAGCAGTCTGGTTACCATAGTACAGGATCTGCCTGGTTTAAGAGTGTGAGATAAATAAAATTATATTATTATTATCCAAGAACCAAATGAAAAGCCTTAGATGACACATGACACCACCTAACAACAAAATTTTAACTTCGTAATGCAGCAGTCAGGATTCATCATAGATAGGTATATCATCCATGTAAATTTTCGATGAACGACTCTCACAAGTTTTTAATTTTGTTCTGAGCGTTGACTTTTCCGAAGTCTACAAAGAAATCGTACTTAAGAAGTTAACGTAACACGTTTATCAACAGAATGTAACTAAGAAGGAATATTTACAGGTTCCATTTGTACTGATAAATATGGCAGCCAGTGGGGATTCAAGCCAATCCGTCAGACCACAACTTTCAACAAACCCAGGGATTACATCATCGCGTACGGTCTTGACGATGGTTTAACTAAATTCAGGACATTGCTGAAGACCCACGTGAAGGTCGATCTGTCAAGTCTATCAGGTACGTGTTAATGAATATGAAATTAAAAGAGTTATAAAAAAAAAACTCTGAAAAATTAAAAGGCAAGGCTTCTTATGCCAATGTACAAGTTTTAAAACATCAAATCATCATCATCATCAACGGCCTTTAATAGTCTACTGCTGGACATAGGCCTCTCCTTACAAAGGAGGCTTTGACCTTCTATACTACGCTGGCCAGACGGGTTGGTATAGGGTTTGTGTCAAGTTTTCCTTCTCTTTCCAGTGTTCTGCGTATTTTTACTCATGGGATGAACAGGGGTGATGACACTCTGTATTCTTAATCCGACACCACACGGATAGTATTTACAAACCTTAGACCAATCTAAAACAATAAAAAGAATGACAGATCTATTTACAAATTAATTATTGTAATTACAGGCTCTCAGAAGATAGTTGCTCAATCAATTTATGACATTTTGCAAAATGGAAGATTCAACGGTAAGTGAACTACTATATATCTTCTGGCAGTTTTGTTTGAATTTCTTTTATAATTTTGGGATGTGCATTAATATAAATTTCTTCTCTTTCAGATGACTACTCTTGGTCCAAAAAGGATGTGTCTTTTGTTTTCTCAAAAGGTAAGAATCTTATAATCGCTGATGTTATAAAATTCAAGAGACCATGACATTATGATGCTGATTTAATGTTATTTACCAAACTATAACAATTATTAATATCAGTTTAATTATTTCTAACCATAATTACAGTATGGACATAGAAACATGTCAAACGAAAATAAAGGGACTATGGTGGGTTGATACCTGAACTAGGAATATTCCTGTATCTCTGGTTATCAACTCTCCAAACACAGTTGTCTTATATCTATTATAAACTTAATGACTGGCCTGTTGGTCTAGTGGTTAGTGACCCTGACTGCTACGGGTTCGATTCCCACCCAGGGCAAATACTTGTGTAATGAGTAGCGTCATTTGTTCTGTGCCTGGGTGTAATTTATCTATAATATATAAGTATGTTTATCAGCAGCCTGGTTACCATAGTACAGGCTCTGCCTAGTTTGGGATCAGACGGCTGTGTGTGAGAAAACATTATTATTAGATATATTATGATTAATGTTTTAGTATGGTAAATTACCATCATTTCTTTAATACAGAATGCGGCTAATAGGGGGAACTCCTCTTGATTGTAACAATTAAACAAAAAACCTAGTGAGTTTAGAATCTTTATATTTATTTATTTAATTTTTATGTTTCCAGTGATCACGGTCTTGGCTACTTTGGGCAGTAGTTATCATAAGAATGGTAAGTTGATTTAATTGTTCATCAGACATAAAAAATATTATGATACAATTTTAGACATCATCATCATCATCATCAACAGTCTTTAATAGTGAACTACTGGACATAGGCCTCTCCTTAGAAAGGAGGCTTTGGCCTACTATACCACGTTGGCCAGACGGGTTGGTATATAATTTGTGTCAAGTTTTCCTTCTCTTTGCAGTTTTGTTGTCCTGCATAGTTTGCTCCCTTAGTCGGCTTTTACGATACCCACGGGATGAATGAGGGTGGTGACAATCCGTATTCTGAATCCGTCACTTGTTGTGAAATTTTAGCTGTTAAATTTAGCTTCATAAATATTATGAGAGAGTCCTAATACTATAAATATTTATATAAAAAATAAATCTAGTTTTCAATATATCATTGCTTTGTGATGACATCGTTAACAATATTTCCTTTAAGGCCAGTGTATAACATAAATTATACATTTCAGTATGGATGTTAAGGTTTATTTTTAAATAACTATCATCGATCATCAGTTTACAATTTAGTCATTAAACTTTAATTTTGCAGTTGGACCCACCATTGTCGACGATCTGTGCGATTACAGCAGCGACATCGGCAGCGAGTCATATGGCTTGGGTTAGTATTAGCCACTCATTGTATAAATTATTTTTACCTATCCTATCCATCTATTTAGAAAAGAATCCGTTTTATTTGTAAATATTACTCGTATACTCTCCTAAATTGTTCTCTTCTTTTTGTTTGTAATACTCATTTGTGATGAGATGACATCATTGTATTTATATGCGAAAATCTTTTTCTACAGACTTATTCTCCCTGAAGAAACAAATCAAGACAGTTATCGTCAGTGCCAACTCTCACAGATGGAAACAAGTGATAAAGGAATGCTCTGATGATCAATACTATAAGATTGTTCATACTCAAAATGATGATGACGATGACTTTGATGATAGTGCTGAAAACAATGATACAAAGAGAGATACTCGAATTGATAAGGATATTAATAAACAGAACAAAGGTGACAAAGGAAGAACTAACAAAGACTTGTCTAGAGATGACGTTGATGATGATGACTTTACTTCGATAAACAATAATAAAAATGATGAAAAGGTAGATGTAAAGAATGTCAAGGAGGACGTTTATAAACAAACCGAGGAAGATAAAGTCAACACCAACAAAAAATCAACCGTTGACGAAGACGTCATTGAAAAGAGAGTTACACTTGAAATCAATAAAAAGACCGATAGTAAGGTAAGTGTTAAAGAGATTAAGTTACTTAAAATAAAGAAAGTATATAATAGTAACAATAATAAGTCGATTGTGATTTTATTTCTTCTCTAACCAGAAGTTTTCGCCAGAAGCTAGATCATAAGGGTCTTCTCGTCTTAGTTTTGACCCGTATGCTCCTTTATCCCTATGCAAAAAAAAAACATTCACAAATGTTTTTTTTTTCTTACAGAGGACACAAAAACCCTTATCATCATTCAGAATCTTCTGGAGAGGAATTAAAGGTAAGCACAATTTTTTTTTACTATGTTTGGTAACCAGAAGTTGAAAACCCTTAAGTTCCCTTATTCCAAGTGGAGGTTAATTGAAGAGTGGGAACACACTTGTGTCTCTTGCTGTAGGTGTCTATGGGTGGCAGTAGTCACCTAGCATCTTCAAAAAAGTAATAAACATCAGGTTTTCAATCTCCTCGCTTGTCCCCTACTCCATAAAAAAGACTTAGTTGAATTCTATTCAGTAAACTCTCGGCAAATGCAAAAATGACTAGAAATTGAGATCGGAAAATGTATTTACAATTTACCTATTTCATAATTTATCTTTTGTTTGCAGAAGACCACAGCGCATCTAAAATATTTAAAATCCTGTCAAAGAAGCGTAAGTATCATATAAAACAGTTGTGTGCCTTATAGAAAATACAATACCGTGATATAAACTCGCAATCAGCCTGTGGAGATACGGGTGTCTTGTATCTCCAACACAAAGCGAAGATCCTCCGACCAGGCGATAATGCCTGGCGGGCCGCTGCCTAACTGTTGATGTTAAAAGTTATAATAATATAATACTTTAATTCCGTCAGTTTTTTGTTGAATTTGGAGGACACTAGCTCATACCATTGGTTAGTTGTATTAAAATTAACCTTCGTGGGATGTAATAAGACATATTATAATAAGCAAGATTTTTTTAAATAAAATACATTTCTTCGTGAGCAGATGTAAGAAAAAAGACATCTCTAGCGGTATCTACATTTGAACTGTAAAACTCGTATTTAAAGTAAAATTAAATGATTAAAATACAATTTTTTTCTTTGCAGCAAGACCTACCAAATTTGGTGATGTTCTGGACGTATATTTGACCGGTAAGAATAAATTTTTCTTTTTTACAATTTTGCAAAATCATGAAAGAACGAAAATGCAAAACAATTGAAAGCTCCTAAATATAATAAACAATAATAAAGTGGATGGAAAAAGACCTCGAGGTAGAAACCCGACACGTTGGACTGACCAGATCCGCACTATTCTCGACACCACAGTCCATGATGCTCTGCACTCGGCGGCGGATAGGGACAGCGAGTGATCCACAGCAAACTCTTACTGCGAGCAAGCGGTCACGACCCTTAGCATTGAGGCAACCGAAGCGAGGAGGAGGAAATATAATAAATAATATTGAGGCTATAAGAGACAAAAACCCTTTGAAAACAAAAAGATAATTTAAGAAATATCTGTGGAATACAGGAAAAGTGTATGTCTGAGCGTGTGCGTGTTTATGGATTATTATTTATTGCTAATGATACCTCAGTGGTGGTATGAATGTGATAGTGGGCTGTATTTAAAGCTGTCAAATGTTGTATGGTTAACAATACATTATTTAAAAACGTATATCATGATGCACAAAGGATGATATGCACGAGGGCTGCAGTCTGTGGTGGACTGTCTATATGTCCCGGCTGGCGAGCGCCAGTGGCTAGAGCAGGTTCAAGATGTCTTAATAACAGCAGTTCCCGGATCCCTCCTATAACAGGCGCAGAGTGGCACCCCGTTTGGTTTTAGTCGGTCCGATTCCGACAATGACCGACCCTGCCGCAAACCCCGATGGGTATGGGTATGGAACCCACACGTATAAAGAAAGGGCAGGGTCGCTAAAAAAGGTGATTTGCTCCGATCGTCTGTGTATGCAATCGGCAGATTTGGAGTACTAGACAGTAGTATTGATCTTACAATATTTTTTATTAATTACCTTTTCTTTATTATTAATTATCTTTAATTTCTTAGGTGCATTTGGAGCGGGAGCTATAATTGATTCCTGGGCGCCTGGATGTAAGTTCAAATTTACTTCCAATTTATTGAAATGATTGAATTTAAACTTTAAAACAATATTAATTAAATCTTTTTTTACTTGCAGTGGGCAAACTCTTCTCTTCGCGTGAGTATTTATTTCATTTCTTTTTATTATCAATTATTAGAGTTTTATACACATTTACTTACTTCATATGACAGACATTTTCTCCCAGTCTACCTTTGAGTGGGTAGGAAAGGTCTAAGTACGTGCACTACTTTTTTTTGAAGAGATAATCATAAAATTGAGGAGATGGACAGAAATAGTGGGACAGATATATATACAAACATATTGAAATACACACACATATATACTTGTTTAGTTCCATACATACACATATACACAAATAATATGTATATAAAACATTAAGGATGTGATAAATTTTAAATTGAATGCAAATTGCGAAACTTTTAAAAATTCAGGCACATACATATGCTTGTAACTTGATGATCAGATCATCCAAGTGCTTTTCTATTTTCTTTTCTTTGAATTAAAAAGAAATGTTTTATTTTAGTTGCTGTTGTGTCGGCCAAGATCAACTACTGTTCAAACAATGGTCCCTTCAAAGTACCTTCCAGTTATCTTGGTTAGTATGAACTTATTAAAGTTTACATTGAGAGGGAATGTACAAAAATACATTTTTTTAGTAATAACTTTCTAGTAAGAGGACAATCTAATCTATAATCTAATGGTTACTGTTTCTGACTGTTACGCCAGAAGTCGTGGGTTCGGTTCCCACCCAGGACAAATAATTGTGTGATGAGCACGGCCATTTGTTTTGTGTCTGAGTGTACTTTATCTATAACATGTATGTATTTAGAAATATATAAGTATGTTTATCAGCAGTCTGGTTACCATGGTACAGGATCTGCCTGGTTTAAGAGTGTGAGATAAATTAAATTATATTATTGTTATCCAAGAACCAAATGAAAAGTCTTAGATGACACATGACACCACCTAACAACAAAATTTTAACTTCGTAATGCAGCAGTCAGGATTCATCATAGATAGGTATATCATCCATGTAAATTTTCGATGAACGACTCTCACAAGTTTTTAATTTTGTTCTGAGCGTTGACTTTTTCGAAGTCTACAAACAAATCGTACTTAAGAAGTTAACGTAACACGTTTATCAACAGAATGTGACTAAGAAGGAATATTTACAGGTTCCATTTGTACTGATAAATATGGCAGCCAGTGGGGATTCAAGCCAATCCGACAGACCACAACTTTCAACAAACCCAGGGATTACATCATCGCGTACGGTCTTGACGATGGTTTAACTAAATTCAGGACATTGCTGAAGACCCACGTGAAGGTCGATCTGTCAAGTCTATCAGGTACATGTTAATGAAATTAAAGGGAATGAGTTATAAAAAAAACGGTAAAATTTAAAAGGCAAGGTTTTTTATGGCAATGTACAAGTATCATTAGCATCATCATCATCAACAGCCTTTAATAGTCCACTGCTGGACATAGGCCTCTCCTTACAAAGGAGGTTTTGGCCTACTATACCACGCAGGCCAGACGGGTTGGTATAGGGTTTGCGTCAAGTTTTCCTTCTCTTTGCAGTGCTATTGTTCTGCGTATTTTCACCCACGGGATGAACAGGGGTGATGACACTCTGTATTCTTAATCCGACACCACACGGATAGTATTTACAAACTTCAGACCAATCTAAAACAATAAAAAAATGACAGATCTATTTACAAATTTAATTATTTTAATTACAGGTTCACAGAAGATAGTTGCTCAATCAATTTATGACATTTTGCAAAATGGAAGATTCAACGGTAAGTGAACTACTAACTATATCTTCTAACAGTTTTGTTTGAATTTCTTTTATAATTTTGGGATGTGCATTGATTTAAAATTTCTTCTCTTTCAGATGACTACTCTTGGTCCAAAAAGGATGTGTCTTTTGTTTTCTCAAAAGGTAAGAATCTTATAATCGCTGATGTTATAAAATTCAAGAGAACATTACATTATGACGCTGAATTAATTTTATTTACAATACTAAAACAATTATAAATATAAGTTTATTTATTTCTAACCATAATTACAGTATTGGCATACAGATACATGTTAAACGAAAATAAAGGGACTATGGTGGGTTGATACCTGAACTAGGAATATTCCTGTATCTCAGGTTATCAACTCTCCAGCCTACAAACACAGTTGTCTTATATCTATTATAAAATTAATGACTGGCCTGTTGGTCTAGTGGTTAGTGACCCTGACTGCCACGGGTTCGATTCCCACCCAGGACAAATAATTGTGTGATGAGTAGCGTCATTTGTTCTGTGTCTGGGTGTAATTTATCTATAATATATAAGTATGTTTATCAGCAGCCTGGTTACCATAGTACAGGCTCTGCCTAGTTTGGGATCAGACGGCTGTGTGTGAGATGTGTGAAAATATTATTAATAGATATGATTAATGTTTTAGTATGGTAAATTACCATCATTTCTTTAATACAAAATGCGGCTAATAGGGGGAACTCCTCTTGATTGTAACAATTAAACAAAAAAACCTATTGAGATTAGAATCTTTATATTTATTGATTTAATTTTTATGTTTCCAGTGATCACGGTCTTGGCTACTTTGGGCAGTAGTTATCATAAGAATGGTAAGTTGATTTAATTGTTCATCAGACATAAAAAATATTATGATACAATTTTAGACATCATCATCATCATCATCAACAGTCTTTAATAGTGAACTGCTGGACATATGCCTCTCCTTAGAAAGGAGGCTTTGGCCTACTATACCACGTTGGCCAGACGGGTTGGTATAGAATTTGTGTCAAGTTTTCCTTCTCTTTGCAGTTTTGTTGTCCTGCATAGTTTGCTCCCTTAGTCGGCTTGTACGATACCCACTGGATGAATGGGGGTGGTGACAATCCGTATTCTGAATCCGTCACTTGTTGTGAAATTTTAGCTGTTAAATTTAGCTTCATAAATATTATGAGAGAGTCCTAATACTATAAATATATATATATAAAAATAAATCTAGTTTTCAATATATCATTGCTTTGTGATGACATCGTTAACAATATTTCCTTTGAGGCCAATGTATAACATAAATTATACATTTCAGTATGGATGTTAAGGTTTATTTTTAAATAACTATCATTCAGAAGTCTGAAAAATTCGAGCATAGTGTTACTTCAGTTTACAATTTAGTCATTAAACTTTAATTTTGCAGTTGGACCCACCATTGTCGACGATCTGTGCGATTACAGCAGCGACATCGGCAACGAGTCATATGGCTTGGGTTAGTATTAGCCACTCATTGTATAAATTATTTTTACCTATCCTATCCAGCTATTTAGAAAAGAATCCGTTTTATTTGTAAATATTACTCGTATACTCTCCTAAATCGTTCTCTTCTTTTTGTTTGTAATACTCATTTGTGATGAGATGACATCATTGTATTTATTATATGCGAAAATCTTTTTCTACAGACTTATTCTCCCTGAAGAAAGAAATCAAGACAGTTATCGTCAGTGCCAACTCTCACAGATGGCAACAAGTGATAAAGGAATGCTCTGATGATCAATACTATAAGATTGTTCATACTCAAAATGATGATGACGATGACTTTGATGATAGTGCTGAAAACAATGATACAAAGAGAGATACTCGAATTGATGAGGATATTAATAAACAGAAGAAAGGTGGAAAAGGAAGAACTAACAAAGACTCGTCTAGAGATGACGTTGATGATGATGACTTTACTTCGATAAACAACAATAAAAATGCTAATAACAATGGTAAAAAGGTAGATGTAAAGATTGTTAAAGAGGACGTTTATAAACAAAACAAGGAAGATAAGATCAGCACCAACAAAAAATCAACCGTTGACGAAGAAGTCATTGAAAAGAAAGTTGGACTTGAAATCAATAAAAACACCGACAGTAAGGTAAGTGTTAAAGATATAAAGTTACTTAAAATAGAGAATGCATTGGGCATTTTTTATGTGAATTGTTATTGATAGAGAGAGATGGTAAATAAAGGCAGGACAGAGCATTGGGTCAAATAAAAGGTAGCCATTACAGCTATGGAATCAAATTCAAAACCAATTTGTTTATTTTAAGTCTATTTGACATATCATTTTAATCTTTCAGATTCAACGGAGACCCTTGTTTTCATTCAACATCTTCTGGAGAGGAATTAAAAGTAAGGACATCATATTTTTTAAATTTTGTTTTCTTCCTAAAGTTTGATTAGTTGAAGTCATGTTCTTACTATGTAAAGTAAAGTAAAAATTCGGGCTTCTAAATAAAATAAATTTGAAAATTATTTTTTAATTAAAGTTGTTTTTGTTTTGTAGAAGACCACGGCGCCTCTTCCATATTTAGAAGTCTGTCCAGGAAACGTAAGTATAAAACATTTGTCATGTCAAGGAATGGTTAAATTTAAATTTACTTTGGCAAGATGTATGCTCTGCCAGCCAACCTTTGGGTAGTGTAGAAATATTTGTGTATTATAGATAAGCAAACGCAGTGTAGGACGCCCACAGGCCAGATTGCGCAAGATGGCTGGTAGGAGCTGGATGCGAGAAGCCCAAAATCGATCTATGTGGCGTGCAATGGGAGAGGCCTATGTCCAGCAGTGAACTGCGGTAGGCAGATGATGATGATAGATAAGCTAAAAATTGGAATTTGTTTATTCGTTAAGCTATGAGGGAATCGAAGAAGCCATGCTTAGGCACATAATTATGGCCCAGCCCAACCGTGCTAAAACCACAGCCTCACTGAAAATTGATATTAAACAAGTTTGAGTTGTTAGTTCTGGCGGGGAAATTAAAAGGTCATCAACACACTTGTGAATCTTGATATTCAGGTATCTATGGGTTAAAGTTCAATTACCACAAAATGATCCCACTGTTAGTTTGCCCGTTATACCATCATCATCATCATCAGCCTATAGCAGTCCAATTCTGGACATAGACCTCTCCTATTGCACGCCACTTTGATCGATTTTCGGCTTCTCACATCCATAAAATATTAATAAAACTATCCAAGAGCACCATTACATTGGATTCATAATATTTTTATTTGTTTTGCAGCAAAACCTACCAACCTCGGTGACGTTCTGGACGTATATCTAACCGGTGAGAATAATTTGTTTTTATTTTGCTTTTTGTTTTACAATATTGCTTAATCTTCAAAGTATGAAAAAGCAAGTTTAAAGGATATTAATTCTATAAATGGATAAATTATTATAACTTGGCTTTGAAAACTCATTAAATTACCTCCTCCTTCTTTTTGTGTTTTTTTGAGCGTATGTGTGTGAATGTTTTTAGGGATCATAATTTGTAAAGTAACAAAAAAATTGCTCAGTATATGAAACTGACTTATTAGCCTTTGAATATTCTTTACCATGTATTATTTTATAATTTTCCAGGTGCATTTGGTGCGGGAGCCATAATTGATTCTTGGGCGCCTGGATGTAAGTCGAATTTTCATTCAATTTGGTTAAAAATTACCTATATTAATAAGTAAAACTTGAAAATGATATTAATAAAGTTCATTTTTATTTGCAGTGGGCAAACTCTTCTCATCGCGTGAGTATTTTTATCATTTTTCTCCATCATCATCATCAGCCTATCGCAGTCCACTGTTGGACATAGGCCTCTCTCATTGCACGCCACTTAGATTAATTTTCTTCTCTTGTTTTTCTTAATTTTCTTCTTATATTTCTCGCTTCTCGTATTTTTCTTACTATCAATTAATAACACGTACATTATTCAAATTAAAAAAATTAAGCAATGCTGTACGATTTACCATTGCGGACGCTCAGAGGAAGGCTGAATTGATTATTCTGAGCTGTTGGTCTATTGGTTATTAATCCTGACAACTGAGTCAGATATGGCTAATTAGATATTTAGTGAGGATTCATGATTGTTTGATGAACACGATCTTTTAGTCTAGATTTAGCTATGGTACATCAATTCTATCGTACTTATTAATAATAGAAATTATATTATACAAGTCCATTTATCAGCAGTCTGGTCACCTTAATTTAGTCTCTAGTCAGCTTGATATCTGACACTCGTGTGTTAAATTATTATTGTTATCATTTGCGAGTGTCTTTTCTGTTTCATTTCTAAGTTTTAATAATGTTTAATTCCAGTTGCTATTGTGTCAGCCAAGATTAACTACTGTTCAAACAATGCTCCGTTCAAAGTACCTTCCAATCGCCTTGGTTAGTATGAACTTATTTTAGTTAGATATTTAGAAATTGCATGCAAAAATAACTATTTAGGAATTACTTTCTTATCGGCGAACAATCATTTCTTAAAAAAGACGTGTGGCACTCGGGGACTGCCGCGGTAAAGCTAGTGCATAGCATTTTGTATCAACTTATGCAATTATAATTATTTATTTATTTTATTTATGCAGTATTTCTTTTTCTTTGATATTAATTCAAGTTACACTTTTTGAGCGTGGTGACCGATAAGAAAACAATTTTTTTTCTTTTATTAAATAAAAATATTGAAGCATATATTACAATTTGTTTTTAAATAAATAAATAAAAAAATATGTTGACGTAATTTCCTTTGACGTTCAGAATATGATTTTGGTACTGTTTTTTGTTTTGTTTTTAGCGTGAGGTTTTCTTTCGTTCCGGAATTTCTGGATTCGGTCCCTGCGCTCAAGGCCCTCGATAGAAGCTATGCAATAGCTTAAAAAAACATTTCTTAAAATTGACGGATGGCGTAGTGGTTTAAGCGGTCGCCACGCCACTTACTAGTACGCTGAGTGTTGTGGGACCGATCCCCACATGGGACGTCACTTTGTGTTATCCACAAATTGTTGTTCTGTGTCTGGGTGTTTTTTGTGTCCGTTTCATGTATGTTAAAGCCCCGCGACACAAGAATATATTCCTAATGCGGGAGTTGCTTTACCGTATCTCAAATTATAAAAGAAACAGATCATTAGACAGTAAAGGACAGAACTATAATGAAATTTTATCCTTGAAAGAGATTTATTCCAGACAATGCTTGTATGAAAACTGTAAACGAAGGCAAGCAATATCTGGTGAAAATGCATCAAATATTAAAAATAAAACAAATGTGTACAGCGGAGAGCACCATGCAGATTTTGATTTAGCTGGCTATATAACATGTAACTTTTAAGTCAAGGGGTGTCACGTAAAGTTGTTTTTTTAGGTAATCGACAAACCAATTATGCAAAAGCACAAGAAGAAGTTTCACCTAATGATACTAATGATAATGATACTAATAAGCATTTATCAAAAGACTGTAACTAAATACATTTTACAGGATCCATTTGTACTGAAAATTATGGCAGCAACTGGGGATTCAAGCCAGATCGAGAACTTCTTACTTCCAATAAACCTAGGGATTACATCATCGCATACGGTCTTGATAATGGTTTAGATAAATTCAGAACATTGCTGAAGACCCACGTGAAGGCTGATCTCTCAAGTCTATCAGGTACGTGTAAATGAATATTAAATCAAAGGAAGGTTTTAAAAAAAAATTGTAACCGACTTCAAAAAGGAGATGGTTCTTAATTCGTAGGAATCTTTTTGCAAGATGAGGATGCTTAAGTCAATACACAAGTGTACAAAGGCTATAGAAAAATCTAGACTAATTTTTGGAAATATTTAAATAAAAACATAGTTATAACCGTGACTAATTATCATCATTGTGATTTACAGGCTCACAGAAGATAGTTGCAGAAGCAATCTACGATTCTTTGCAAAACGGAAGATTTAACGGTAACTACTAAATATATCTAAAAAAACCAATATAAATACACCACGGCCTCACAGAAAACCGGTGTTAAGCAATTATTTTGTTGCATTTCACTGAATGAGCGAGGTTAATGGAGCCCAAATCTCCCGCTGACTCGAGCGGGAGGGACTCCAAGGGCAGCAACGCACTTGTGACTTGTGTCCATCTGCTTGCTCAGTTTTGTGTTTGTTTGTAAATAAATTTTGATAAAAAATGAATTAATTTAAAATTGTTCTGTTTCAGATGACTACTCTTGGTCTAAAAAGGACGTGTCTTTTGTTTTCTCTAAAGGTAAGAATACTACAATAGCTCCTAAAATTAAAATTTATAACATTTATAAATAAGGAAACTAATGGAAAAAGAAACGAGACAAGTGAAGGAACCTAATAGCAATTGAACAAATTAAACGTAGTGCACTTATTTTCTTAACATGCATTCATAACTACATTTAATAATGTTTAAATTTCCAGTGATCACCGTCGTAGCTGCTCTGGGCAGTAGTTACCATAAGAACGGTAAGTTTATCTAATTATTTATCAGACATGAAAGAAGAAAGAAGAAGAAAATTTAGTGAATGTGAGCCTTGAACGCTTAGAGAGTCCTAGTACTAGTTTTAAATCACTGATGGATCATATTGAAAGTCGTAAAACAACAATAAAAGTTGGAGTCAAATGCACATGCAATAACTATTTTATTAACTAGATATTTTTGCATAGTAATGGTTCTCGCATAAATTATGACATCATCTTAATGTACGTGTATCTGTAATTTCTAATCTTTACCATTAACGTAAGTAACGTTTACTTAAAAACTGGCGGGTTTGCCTGCAGCGATAATACTAGGGTCACACAGAAAATAAAACCGGTTTTAAGCCATTCTTTCATCCTCCCCCCATGTGAGAGGTGCTCAAAGGGCAGCAAGGCTCTTGAGTTTCAAAGAGTGTCCATGTATGGCTGTCACTTAGACACATTTTACAAACGAACACCTTTAACTGTTAAATAATGTTCAAGGACTATTAGTTTAACGTAAAACACACATCGTGTATGTGTTCATTTGTTAACATTAATTTAAAATACTGGTCATGCAAGCCCAAAAATTCAACTATTATAATTTCAGTATACTAATTAATAATAAAACTTTAATTGTGCAGTTGGGTCCACCATCGTCGACAATCTATGTGACTACAGTAGCGAAATCGGCAGCGAGTCCAATGGCTTGGGTGAGTATTACTCATTTATTGTATAAATTATTTTTACCTATCAATTGGTCTATTGGTGTAGTCGTTAGTGACCCTGAGTACTAAGTCGGAGGTCGTGAGTTCGATTTCCTCCAGAGAAATATTTATGTAATGCGCACGATATTTTGTTGTGTGTCTGGGTATGATTATCTATAATATAAAGTGTGTTTATCAGCAGTCTTATTTGGTTATCATAGTATGGGCTTTGCCTAATTTGGCATCACGCAGCCATGTGTGAGGTCATTGTTTTTATTTATAATTGTTATTAAAGTTTTAAATCTAAATATCTCATGTTTTACAGAATTAATCTCTCTGAAGAGTAAAATCAAGGAAGCTATCGTCAGTGCTAACTCTCACAGATGGCAACAAGTGATAACGGAATGCTCGGATGATCAATACGAAAAGATTGTTCAGAATCAAGATAAGGATGGCGACGATGATGATGAAAATGACTATAACATTTTCACTCAAGAAGAACCAAGTAGAGATGGGGATAATGATAAAACTGATATAAAGTCAGATGTAAAAAATGATAAGAAAAAAGATGTAAACAATGAAAAGAATATAGATGTGGAAAGTGACAAGACAGGCAGTAATAAAAAGGACAAAGATAACAACTTAGGTCTTAAAAAAGAGTTATCCGTGGACAATAATACAATCGAAAAGAAAGTAAAGATTGAAAACAAGATAACAAAAGTAAGTCTGAGATAAAGTAACTTAAAATGGAGAAATTATTTGCTATTATTTTTGAATTAAAAAGAAAATAAATAAGGGCCAAATCAAAGTATCAGGTCAAAAGAACTCAGGTGACAACGCACCTGTGACTTGAGTTGCAAATGTCCATGGGCGGCCGTAGTCACTTACCTTCATGTGACCCGACTGCGCATTTGCATATCATAAGAAATCGTCAAGATACAATAATCAAAATTGTTAGTGTAAGGCAGGCGACTAGTCATAAAAGAAACTCATTAAAATCCTTTGCGATTACTCTTGTATCAAGCCCAATTAACCAAGGGGAGGAAAATGATGAATAATAAGTTGGTTTTTTAGCTACATATATTACCCACACGAAAAAAATTATCTTTAACATATTGATATTCAAATTCCTAAGACAGAACAAAGTATTGCGAATCTACGATTAGATATTAAAATATTGTTTTGTTTCAGTTGATATATAATTGTTCTATTTCTTTCAGGAAAACCAAGTAGCCCTGTCTTCATTCGGTATCTTCTGGCAAAGAATCAAAGGTAAATTTAAATCTTTTCATTGTTAACTTTTCTGGTGTCAATAATATTGACATTGGCTTTATAAGTCTTTAGCTCTTTGAATTTAAGCCTTATATAATTTAGAAACCATAAAGTAGATAATACTATTGTTCCATCATGATTTAAACTATCCTGTCTCTCTCTCAATTTAATGGCTAAGCCGGTGTCGGTGAAGCGATCAGTTTGACCTCTTGATAGGCCACGATCGCTTTCTCCTTCACTTGTTGTACATACATACGTTGATCTAGGCCTTCCTCGTTTTCTCCTGTCTTCTATTTTTCCTTTCAGTATTCGTGTGAGAAATTATTGTGTTTTATCAAGTGGCCAACCATTTACTTCTTATTTATGTTTTATAATTTTTTGTTTTTCTTTTTCAGAGGGCCACCGTGCTTCAACCATATTTAAAACCCTGTCAACTAGAAGTAAGTATTATAATAACAAAAAAATCATGTTACTGTGAAGTCAGTAAAATATTTAAAACTTAATAAGTTCTAAGTATCCCTATTTGTCATTTTAAGGTACAGATCAGAGCAAAAAGACCTTGCCAATAATGTCATTTTGAAATATTATAGAAAACTAACACTTTATTTAAAATTAACTTAAGACTTACATTTTTTATTACATTATCATTATTATCTAAATCATAACGTCATCTTATTTTTTTCAGCCAAATCTACGAAAGTCAGTGATGTTTTAGATGTATATCTAACTGGTAAGAAACAGTACCTATTTATTATTTCTGATGAACGAACATAAACTATTCCCATAATTAAATAACTTCTCTTAAAACATATCTCGGTAGACGATGCTTCGGTAGCATCGGAAGCAGGTTTTCGGAGGCCCAACCAATCTAATACCGGGTGGGGGGAATACTCAAAGGGTGGTAAAACAGTTGTATTTTATATTTGACACGTGTTTGTGGACAGCAGTAGTCACTTACCAACGGGTTATTCGACTGCTGGTTTGTCCCTATGACATAAAAGTACACAAATTTTTGTCTAGTTTGTGTACTAAAATGCCACTCAGCTTATCATAGTGGAGGATCACAGCTTCAAATATTTCGTCATTAAACAACTAAAAAAAATCAAATTGAACACTACCATCTCTAAATATTATTTGTTTGTTATTACACATTGTCCTTAATTCAACAGGTACATTTGGTGCGGGAGCCATAATTGATTCCTGGGTACCTGGATGTAAGTGGATACTTTTTCAAATTTCATGATAAAATATTCAGAATATCAAACAATTGTGATACTAATAATCTCTTTCTTTTTTGCAGTGGGCAAACTTTTCTCGTCACGTGAGTATTTCATTTAAATATTTATATAATTGACAAAAATAAGAAACCTATCGTTTAACGTAATTATTAATTAACGGATCTACTAATGAAATTCATGGATATAATCGCATATTTGATTTAATTTCTTAAAACTATCAAAGTAAAGGATTTTAAAAATCATCCTCTGAGCTCTTTTCCCAAACTAGGTTGGTGTTGGCTTATAGTCTACTGGGGTCCAGAAGGCAATAACTACCTGGACCCCCCTAAAACAAAAGCGCAAAGAGGGCACACCGTGTGGTTTTAGTCGGTTCGAGTCCGACACACCGCCCCGCCGAACAGAGAGCCCCGGCGGGGTGACAGTCCGAGGGGATTTCCACACGTAAAAAAAAAAAAAAATGGCTTATAGTCTACTACTACACTCTTGACTTTGATTTCTTTTACGTGGAGCGACTGCCATCAGACTTTCACAATTCATGTACAAGGCGATATGGAATTTCTGTTGATAGACTGTTGTTGGACTTTTTAAGATTCCAACTACTCGTAACGATTGCCCCAGATGTTCGTATGGAAACCAGAACCGAGGAATTAAAATGCTTTTCGATGCACAAAGGGGTGAGACCCCGTGTGTTAAGAAATGGTCACCCATCTATAGACTGACCAGGATTGCTAACCCCTACACCAAGCCACAAGCACCTAGATTTTATATTTTTTTTTATTATTTAGGTTGTAAATAATATATATTTTTAATTACAGTTGTTCTTGCTTCGACCAAAATCAACTACTGTTTAAAGAATTGCGCGTTCAGGGATCTTTCAAGCAAGCTTGGTTAGTATTTTTCACTGTTTGAATGTACCTAAATATTTTAAGAATAGTATTTTGATTACTATTACTTTATTTGCTGAGGGTTTTTCCGCCTTAGATGGACCTACAGTTAAGCAACTTATTGATGAAATCTTGTTGAAATATGAAGGAATAATTCTAAATAGGAAATAAAACGCCAAATGTAAGTGTACGTAAGTAGGGAAAGATCAACCAGGAGGATATCGGAAATTCTTAGATCCCACTGAGTGTGTCCATGGGACGATTGGAACTTACCACGAGGCGACCCGTATTACCTTTAGCCCGCTACATCATAAAAACCGACTTATTATGCATTAATACTATTTCAAGTAGAATTATTAAAGCACTTTAGTGTCTTCATCAATCACCATTTGGATTTTACAATTATGTTTTTTGTTCTACTAGAATCCATCTGTAGTAATAAATATGGCAGCGATTGGGGATTCAAGGTTGAAAGCGATATATCTTCTTATAATGATGTCAGTGATTATATCACCGCTTACGGTCTTAAAGATGGCTTAGCCACATTCAAGAGGCTCCTTCAAACACACACCAAGACTGATCTGTCAGGTCTAGTAGGTAAGTGTCGATAAATATCTATTTTGAAATTTTAGTTTAATTTTTTTTTAATATGATCGAATCATGCTAGTCAAGGTCCTCCCTAAACGACTTCATGTCTGCTGAGAAGTCGTTGAAGTTGACTTGTGATGGTGAGGAAATTGAGACCCTTGGAAAATAAAATAACCGAAGGGGCTAAGTAATGGAATACATTATGTACACGTATATTTGCTTTATAAAGTCTTCGAAAGCCATATCGTATTAAATCTTAAAAGTAAAACTTTATTTAAATGCAAAATGTTAGTTAAATAGTTTTATCTATTTCTTTTTTGACTGACTTTTTGAATTGTTATTGATTCTAACTGCTGAGTCGGCTGAGTCCGAGATCGTAAATTCTTTTCGCATTAACAAGTCAAGTCAAGATCAAGATCATTTGTTCTTTGTCTAGCTGTTATAAGAAGGATACATTTATTGTGGAAAAGCTCTTAAATAGACAATATATTTCACAGTTAGTTCAAATAACGCATCGCTGTACAAACGTCATTAAAACCGAGAATTACTCAAATGAATGCAAATCTTTTACAGGCTCTCAGAAGGTCGTTGCTCAAGCAATATTTGACATCGTCGACAATGGCAGATTTAGCAGTAAGTGATTCTTTGTTATCTAGACCAATGGTCGATTTCGATTTCGAAACTAATGACCTCAATTTCATAAATTTTACTCCAATTAATTCCAAATTAAATGTAGTGAAATATACGAACCTCCAAAAGAAGAGAATACGTCTATCTCCACTTCAAAGGTCGTCAACGTAATATTGACTCTTAACTTGCAAGTGTCTCTGCGTGATGATACTCATTTACAATCACATGACCCGTGTGCTTGTTTATGAATTTTATAGATACCATCATTTCATCATTCAACTTAAAATTGTTTCTACATCGTAAATGTTTAATGAATGTAAAATAAGTAAATGTTTTTTTGTTTCAGCTGATTATTCTTGGAGCAAGAAAGACGTAACTTTTGTCTTCTCGAAAGGTAGGACTTCCAAGTCACAGTTACTAACCAAGCCCATATTACCCAATCGAATTATTTCATTAAGACAAATATACTAATAATTACAGATTCAATCTACTAGATGGCGTTGTGTGTCAGACATCCGAAATATTATTGTTATTATTATTTTTGTGAAGATTACATTCCCAAAGACACCTTAGACCAAACCTCCCTCAGACAAGGAAAGTCATAAAAGAAACCAGTCAAAATCCTTTGCGATGAAATTAGAATAGAGGCAGAAAGAAGAAGAAGAATCAATTATCTCGATTTTTATTATTATCATCGTAGAACTTCTTTTTGTCTTTGTAGTCATCAGTCAAGAAATTGACAATTTTTTTTCACAGTATTAATTTTGTATCTAAATTACACATTTAATTTTCAGTGATCACCGTTTTGGGAGCTTTGGGCAGCAGTTACGATTCTAAATGTAAGTTATTTTCTATTTTAAATGTTTCCCTGGTAAGAAAAAATTACATGTTGTATCATTGCTGTCGTACTGACGTAGTGTGTGGCGACGGATTAAGAATACAGAATGTCACTACAACAATTCATCCCGTGGGTGTCGTAAGAGCCGACTAAGGGCGCAAAACAACGCAGGACACCAGCACTACAAAAAGAAGGAAAACTTGACACAAACTCTATACCAACCCGTCTGGCCAGCGTGGTATACGAGTATTAGGCGAAAACCTGCTTTCTAAAGAGAGGTCTATGTCTATTAGTGGACTATTAAAGACTGTTGATGATGATAATTATTATATAAATGTGCTAATTCCTAATCATAGAATATGTTTCACACATTTCTCTCGTTTTTGTACCAATAAAACACTATAAATTTTAATTTATTCCTAGTTTGGGATCAGACGGCCCTGTGTGAAATGTGTGAAAATATTATTACTCGTATAATTATTTATTTAACGTTTGTTGTGCAGTTGGATCTTCTCTGGTCGATGAGCTATTAGACTACAGCAACGACATCGGAAACGACAATAATGGCTTGGGTGAGTATCATTTAAGAACAATTTTTTGTTGCATATTACCTCGCTATCTGGAACTAAATTGAAGTGTATAAAAAAATCATATAAAATGGCTACATAAACTTATAGGGAGTCCAGTTCCGACACGTCCGACTGTCCAGCACGACAGTTCAAGCTATACTGGACAGCAAGCGATCTCTAGTAATATTAGAAAGGATGGAACTTTCTATGCATAGATTCACTTACATTAAATTTGTGTTTTCTGTAAACCTATATTAAGAAGATTCAATTATTCTTTTAAAGCTAGCTTTAATATACTGCGTGGATTTCATTTCTATTTATCCGTGCTTTATAAACATGTAACTTTGATTCGTTCGCATTTATTTTATACTAACTTTTGCCTGCAGCTCCGCCCGCGTGTATGTCAGTTATCGCGGTAAAAATTAGCCTATGTTACTTGCTGATAATGTAGCTTTATATCGGTAAAGTTTTTTTTTAAATCGGTTTAGTAGTTTAGGCGTGAGGGTGTAACAAACACACAAACTCACTTTCATATTTATAAAATAAATATGGACGTAAGGATAAAGTTTGCAACTTACTACCCCAATATTTACCCTATACCAACCCGTCTGGCTTGCGTGGTATAGTAGGCCAAAACCTACTTTCTAAGGAGAGGCTTATGTCCAGCAGTGGACTGTTAAAGGCTGTTGATGATGACCCCCATATTTGTTTTTCTAAAGACACTTATTACATATAACATTTCTTTGCAGTTTTGATAGATCTGCGGCAGAAAATAAAGGAATCCATCACATCCTGCCAGTCTCATAATTGGAATAACGTCATTACCATCAGTTCTAATGAGAAAATTAGTAAGAGATCTCATGAGGAAACTAAGGACTCATCAAATATATCTACCAAAGACAAGACCTCTAGAGGGACAGACTTTAACGGCTCAGAGGACAATAGCAACACTGACTCGATAAAAACTTCTGGTAAACGATTATCTTCTTTCGAACAAAGCCGCCAGACGAGAGCTGAATCAGCCTCCCAAAATGAATCAGCATATAGTAGATCAATAAAAAAGAATGGTTCTGAAGAAAAGGCGTCCGGAATCCAAGGTCATCGACAGTCTAATCAAAGTGAAAATAAGAATTATGAAAGTGGTACCCGGAACGAAAATGGATCGGGAACCTATGAAAAGAAAAGTTCAAATTACAATGCATCCAACGATGACTCTTTTAAAAACGAACACAAATCAGTAAGGAACAGTGATGGGTCTGAATTTGAAAATGAATCTAACAGCTATTCTTCCCACTCTTCTTCCAGCTCCAGTAACTCGGAATCCGAAAAATCTTATTATTAATGTGTTTGGTATTTTAATTAAAAAACGACAAAAGCGCGCCTCTGGATTTCTTTAATATATTTTAAATAAATGAGCATGATATAAATGGTTTTGGTTTTTTTTTGATGACTTCTTAATATTTAGTGATGACCAATATGAACATTATGTTCCTTCCTGTCACCTATTTGCAATTGCAATCTGGGTATGTAACCTGATCGTTACTATCGCTGCTCATGGACATCTGCAACTCAAGGGTCACAACTGCTGCCCTTTGAGTGCCTTCTCTCCCCCCTTAGAAGGGGAAGGGATTTAGTGTCCGGTAATAGAATAGAATAATCTTTATGGTATACTAGTTCAGTAAAAAAAAGTATTTCAAGTTAATGATCATGTACAAATGGCAGCCTTATAGCTAAAAAGCAATTTCTTACAGGCAACCTTTGGATGGACAAATAGACTGTAAATAGGTGATTTCATAAGCAGTCTTGGTATGAAAAGAAAGTATAAAGGGAAAAAAATATTATACAACAAAACAACATTTGATAGTGATAAAATAATAATAATAATACATCACACATCCCACACACGAAAAGTAAAAAAAAAGGTAAAATACAAAGTATTGATAATACAGCAGACAGTCCTAGCAATATCTAGTTACAAACAAAACAAAGTTTATTGAACCATCAAAGTTACATTGTGACAAGTGCTCTGTCTCCTAAACTAGGTTAAGTAACCTGTATCTTAGGAGTCAGTGCCTTCCTTAATTAGAGGAACAATAGTTTTATAATAATAGGTCTTTACCTATGAAATTGCCGTTTTGTATGCAATAAGTGAAAGTACTTATTTTTTCAAACTTTTTTATTTCTGTTATTCAAAGTAATCACCCATGCAATCGACGCATCTTTGCCAACGCATTGGCAGTTTATTGATGCCCTTCTTGTAAAAATCAGCTGGACGGGAGGCAACAAACTCTTCAAAGGCATTTTGTACTGCCTCTCGGAAATTGAATTAGGAAAAAGGAAAGGAAGGAAAAAGTAATAGTCGGTTGGTGAGTATGGCGGATGAGGGAGAGCTTGCAACCCCAGCTCTTGCAGCTTGGAGACTGTCTGTTACGCAGTATGGGGTCGCGCGTTGTCGTGAAGAAGCAGTGGGGACGACCGATTGACCAAAGCTGGTTGCTTGGTACTCACCAGACCTTGCACCTACCGATTCTAAGGAGAGGCCTATTTCCAGCAGTGGACTATTAAAAGCTGTTGATGTGATGTGATTTGATGTGAGCGGAAAGAGAACCAACGGCCATTGACAGCCTACAACCCTACAGTCTTCGGACACACGATCAATATTTATCACAGTATGGTTGATTTTATTGAGTAGGTATCACGGGTCCTATCTTCTTAAGACATTGGTTAAACCACAAATCGTTTAAATTCACTCGATTAAACTTAATTAGGGAGTCCCCTCAAACCTAGGGCTGCAACCCTTGATTGTAATAGCTTTTGGCCGCGGCTCCACCCGCGTGTATGTTGGTAATCGCAGTAAAAGCTAGCCTATATTACTATAGCATTCCATTGGTGAAAAAATATTTTAAATAGGTTTAGTGGCAAGCAAATTAATGGAAGGTAACGCTTTTCGCCTGAACATGACGTAGTCTATCAATTTGTCTTTATATTTCTCTCTCTCTCTCTTTAAAAGACAACTGCCGCACTAGGAATATATCCTGTGTCGCGGGGAACTTTACAAACGGACACAAAGAACACCCAGACTGAACAAAAATGTTTGGATCACACAAAAAATGTAACAATTCTTCTTAATATACTCAAAGTTAACTTAAAAAATGATAACAAAACAATCTGTCAACAATTGCATAGACGGAACTGTCATTCATCTGTCACCCGTGACGCGCCAGAGACAATTGTCAAAGTTGTCATTTTTTTTGTTGGGCATCGGTAGCTAAAGTTTTGTTCGTATTTGGTCAAAAAATATTCCAAAGTAAAACGAAGTTTTCTCAAAATTGCAGTTATTCAAAATTTAATTTTATAAATCATAATATTAAAAATACTTAGTTCCTCGCCTGGACAACTCCTTTGAATCTATTGTACTTTATGAAGGTAGCAACCCTACGTCTGGACCGTGGTAGAGGGCTTAAGTTGAGATGCAATTACGTTTTGGTCAATTTAATGTTTATAGGGTTGGCAATATGTGGTCGTACCCAAATATTAGTTTTGGAATAGTTTGACCTGTATTGAGTTAGTTTCAGTGCAATATTACTTAACACTTTTCGCTTGTTAGTTAAAGAGATTTCTTTGGCTTTTTATTGCCGACCTCAAAAAAAAAGTTTTAATTTTGTGTTTCCATTTTCTTATTTCTAAATTAAACAACTTAATTTTTTAAACAAAAAAATCGGTTGTCTGTAAAGTCAGTTTACTGACGATAGTCACTTAAAATCAAAAGACATCAAGTCGTTTATGCTACAGAGCGTGCAAAAGAGATAAAGACTGCACGGATGGCGTAATGGTTTAAGCGGTCGCCACGCCGCTTTCTAGTACGCCGAGTGTTGTGGGTTCAAACCCCACTTGGGACGACACTTTGTGTGATCCACAAATTGCTGTTCTGAGTCTGGGTGTTCTTTGTGTCCGTTTTATGTATGTTTGTAAAGTCCCCCGCGACACAGGATTTATTCCTAACGCGGGAGTTGTCTTTTTTTAAAAATAAAAAGGTTATAGAAATACCGTGCTAAAGCCATGCTTCGGCACGAATGGGCCGGCTCGAGCGAAGTGATACCACAGCCTCACAGAAAACCGGTGTTAAACAAATCTTTCGTTGCCTTTCACTGAGTGAGTGAGGTTACCGGAGCCCAAATCCCCAGCAAACTGGTCACCTGATAGAAAGCGACTACCGCCGCCCATGAACGCCTGCAACTCAGGAGTCACAAACGCGTTGCCAGCCTTTGAGGAAGGAGTACGCTCTTTTCTTGAATGTTTGAAGGTTGTATCGGTCCGGAAAAACCGCAGCCGACAACCCGTTTCACAGACTGGTAGTGCGAGGCAAAAAGTGTTTTGAAAAGCGCACAGTGGCGGAGCGCCAATTATCCAAGTGGTGGGGATGAACATTTTGGAGGCGGAAGGTTGCGGCCGGTAGTAGTCCGTACAATTCCTAGGAGCACTCTCCATGATATACACAATAGAGAATGCAAAGTTCAGAAACGTACACAATTCAACACTTAAGTTAAAACCTTTTGGTAACTTGATTTAATACTAGCCTTAGACGCGGTTTCGCTGGTGTGTGTGTGTGTGTTTTTTCGGTTTGACTGCACGAATGGCGTAGTGTTTTAAGCAGTCACCTCGCCGCTTTTTATTCATCATCATCTCAGCCGAAACACGTCCAACACTGGACATAGGCCTAGCTGCCCGCATCCATGAGACCGAAGCGACAAATATGACTGCACGGATGCCGTAGTGGTTTAAGCGGTCGCCACGTCGTCGTCGCCGTTACTATTACATGGAGACTGATGCTGGGGACCTTGAGTTGGTGGACAACTGGTAGAAGCTCAGCGACTACAGAAGTCTTGCCAGATTTAACGCTGATTAAGATAACGTATACCTTCTGTTCACCAGGTGAGCTGAACTTCTTTCCTTATAACGATGGTAATTCTAAATTCTAAGCTATGGCTTTTTTATGGTATAGGAGCCCTGCAATCGATATCTATAATTGACTGCACGGATAGCGTAGTGGTTTAAGCGGTCTCCACGCCGCTTCCTACTACACCGAGTGTTGTGGATTCGATTCCAACATGGGACGACACTTTGTGTGATCCACAAATTATTTTTCTGAGTCTAGGTGTTCTTTGTGTCCGGTTTATGTATGTTTGTAAAGCCCCCTGCGACACAGGATATACTTATTCCCAATGCGGAAGCTATCTTTTAAAAAAAAGATTAATAATATTCTAATTATGGCGATGTCTAAATAGACCAGTAAAATCCAAAAAATACGCAAGCACTTCATAAAGTAATAAATTATTAACAGCCAGACCCATACTTAAATTGTCCTTCAATGGTCCGCCATATTACCAAGTCTAGACTAAGAAATATTTTAGAACCAAAAGTACGGCGGGCGTGGCTAGAAATCCCGCCCAAAAGATCCGCCTTTCCCGCCCTAAACACACCCTAAAATCTTTAGTTAATCGTATGACGTCGCGAGAGACACACGTGTCGATAATTTTCCCAATTTTTTATAACAAAACTATGTTTGTTATTTTCCCAAAAAAATGTTAATAAAATATCATCGAGTGTAACACTTTAAGGAAAAATTAAGTATCTTGATTTGTGTTTTAATTGTTTTACAGACTGGTTTTTGTTTGTTTACGAGTGTTGTTTGCAAACAGTCAACACGTGATATTCAAGGTCAGGTTGTTGACTTGTAAACAGTGGTGTGTTTTGGGTAAAGTTGAACTAAAGTGAAATAACATTATTACTTTTTATTTAACTGAAACATTTTAGTTAAAAAAAGTGTTTTTAAACTCAAAATAGTGAAAAAAATTAACAGTGACTCGTAATAAATAGCTGACAAAAAAGTGTAGTGATTGTCAAGAAAGAAATTATTAAAACCAGTTATAATTTATTTTAACAGGTTTAATTTACTTTTGAAAAAAATCTTGTTAAACAAAATCAAATCTTAAAATCTTATAATTGATTGTCATAGGGCTCTAAATCTTTAGCAGTATATGGTGTTTTGTGTTTCTTATGGCATTTCATCAACAGCCCTTAACAATCCATTGCTGGACATAGGCCTCTCCATACAATGGAGGTTTTGGCGAACTACACCACGCTAGCCAGACGGGTTGGTATAGGGTTTCTGTCAAATTTTCCTTCTTTTTGCAGTGCTGTTGTGTTGCACAGTTTGCTCCCTTAGTCGGCTCTTACGACACCCACGGGATAAATAGAGGTGGTGACACTCTGTATTCTTAATCCGTCACCACACGGATAGCATTATGGCATTTAAACTTTAGATACGATAAAAAATAACAT